AAAGGGCGAGCATATTTGGTGTGACGGGGATTCGAACCCGCGACCCGCATATTGCGAGTGGAGCGCCCTAACCACCTGGCCATGCCGGGCCGACATTTTGAAAACTGTTTGATCAGACTCTCATCTGTCTTTTTAACGACAAGCGTATTTGTTTCGGCACTGCTCTTCGTTTAGCTATGGCTTGTCGTCTGGTTATAGCATTTTCTATAAAATATTTGTTTCTTTAAAAACAAATATAAAACTCGTTTCTTCGCTTGAACAACTCTAGAATAAGATATATTAAATGTATTCTAAACATTCCGATATGCCGTACACTAGGTGGAAATCCAGCTAAGTTAACTTACTAAAAATATATTATTTGGAAGTATGGAATATTAGCATCTTATGAAATTTTTCAGAACTGTGAAAACGTACTTTTAAACAAAGACGGAAGACTCAGCTCACTATTCTTAAAATACTATTATGTTGTTCACAAACGTTGTCTAAAGTCACAATTTATCAATTTGTTTTCGTACAAAAGATGTATTACTGGTATCTGCTTCACCGAGTAAGGAAATATACTGTAAGAATATATTTGACTTTATATTAGAAACTGAATGGAATTTATAGAACGAACTCCCCAATGTTAGAGATTTATTACAGAAATGTACACTTTGATATGAGGTTTAACGTATGGGGCGATAAATACACGGAAGAACTATAAGTTTTGAAAAAGAACAAAATAAAACAAACTTGTCATAAATTAGAGCTACTACAATAAACTAAAAGGAAAACATAGACGACGTTTGGTTTGGAACAAATCCATTTTGGGCTGTATCCACCGAGAGGAATCGAACCCCGGATTTAAGCGTTATAAGTCCTTAACTTTACCGCCGTGCCACCGGGGGAACACGACGTTTGGTTTAGAACAAAGCCACGTTGGGCTGTATCCACCGAGAGGAATCGAACCCCGGATTTAAGCGTTATAAGTCCTTAACTTTACCGCCGTGCCACCGGGAGAACACGACGTTTGGAATAAAAATACTGTTAAATTACTAAAATTAGCAAGATCCGAACATTAACACAGTAAATAAGTGACAAGTATATTTCTTTCTAGAATTCAAAAATATATTATTCGTGTTTTTTATATTGAACTTTAGAAAAATATATACATTTGTCAATCAATTTCTATGCAGATGGTCACATGTTGCCAGCTTCGCTAACAAAGCTACTGGGATGAGTGTAACGACTTATTGGCTCGCTTCAACCATGAATCTGTGGGTTAATTCCGGAAAACTAAAGGAATCTTTCCGGTTCAAATTGTTCGGTATTTGTTCCTTAATCTGTGTGGAACCACGAGAGAAAAATGTTCTAAATGAAACAAGGGAATACGTTTTGAAAATTTAAGGAGGCGTTGTGTTCATGTCTACCTAGTATCCACAACGTGAATAAAACATGTTAGAAATTAGATATTTGATATTCAAAAATATGGGAACAATGCCCCTTTTCAAATCAAATAGTGAATCAATGCTTTTATACAAAACTTACATTTTGCATTACAAAAATGAAATATCAGGCGTTTGTGTACAGATTTACAGAAAAATACAGACGATGTTGTAAATTGAAATGAAG